CGTTTAAAAAGCAGTTCCTTAAAAACCAGATGACCCGTCTGTAGCTTTCCTCTTCCTAAGATTTGCAAAGATGCCCCCCAAGTTACTGCCAATTTAGTCCGTGGGGGGAAGCAGGGAACAGTACGTTAGTGGAACACAGGGAAATCACGTTGTTCCCAGGAGACTGGAGAGAAAAAAAGCTAAAAAGCCGTAATACGCCCTGCTGGTGAAGATGTAGGGAAAGGGCACTTTCCTATGGGACTGGCAGAAAGGCAAATCTCACGGTGGCCCTTCTGGAAATTAGTTTGGTGACATTTAATAAAAGTGAAAGTGTGCAAACCCTTTGATTCAGCGGTCCCATTCCTGGGACTTTATCCCTGAGGAGTAAAACCTCCAGGAAACCAAGCAAATGGCCATCAGTAGAAAAATGGCCTAAAAGTTGTGGTCGAGAATCTCAACTTGTCGGCTCATCCCCCCCGCCCCCCAACCTTCCCCACTGCCTCAGCCTTGATTCCCTCTCAGCCCACCCCCTGGGACCCTACACAGGGAGGGGATGAGTCACAAGGAACCAGGGCTGGCGACGCAAAGCTTAAAGCAGGCTAGTCAGGAGGGACAAAGGAGCGACATTTCCTGGATACGGAAACTCTGGGTGAGAGACGACCTACTGCAGGAAACACTCGGCTGGGGCCCCGCCAAGCCAGGGCCGGGGGGTCAGCCAGGCCAGGCCGCCCAGACGGGCCAGTCTGGAGGCCCCAAGGAAGTGAGGACGTCCCTGACCCTAAGCCTACTGCCTGGGTAGCTAGAGACCTGGAGAGGACGCTGACACCCGCCAGTCCCAGCAACCACAGGATGTCTGAGTTTGGGTCCCGGGGCCAGACATCCCTGGATTCAAATCTTGACTCCGTTGGTCTCAGCCTCCCTCTTCTCATCTGAGAAATAATCATTCTAAACTTTCTGGACACGTGGGCACAGGTCTGACTTTTGGTTGGTCTCTCCCATCCAGAGCATCCCAGGATGTCATCCCTCCAGCTGGCCCCCACTCCCAGCCCTGCTGGTCCAGAGAGACCTTTCCATCATGGGATCTGACCATGTCCCTCTCTGGCTCACACACCCTCCATGGCTCCCCATTACCCTGGGAACAAAGTCCAGCTCCTCATCGGCTCTTATGTCCCTCCCCTCACCCTCACTCCCACCTCCAATGCGGCTCTTGCCTCCAGCTGCCCTGGACCTTTACTTATCTGGCTAAAGAGTATCTCTAAATTTGTGCTGTCAGATTACAATGGCTTTTTCTTGGCAAATTCTTCTTTCTCCAAGGCCCGCCCCCAGAGATCCCTCCTCCAGGCAGCCCTCCTGATTGCCCCAGATATAGCCCTTGCTCCCCCTGGGGGAATCCCCAGCTCCGTCCCTCCCTTTTTATAGACCCAGAACATGTAGCTCTGACTCCCCCGAGTTGGTGGCTCCCCCAGGGGCAGGACAGGGACTGAGTACCTATCAGGGAGCATTTGGCAGACGCCCTCCCTGACTCTGTGGCCCAGCCACCGGGAGAGGTTCTGACTCTTTAGGGATTTCCTGTGACCTCTATAAATAACCCCCATGGCTGCTTCCCACAAACCGCCTCACCCTTCTTGGAAAAAAAAGGACTGTGGCCAAGGACCTCAGTCCAGCTGTGTGCCAGGGCCCCGGGGGAGGTGGGTGGGGCCCAGGCATCCTGCCCCAAGAGTGTCTCTCTCCCCACCCAGACCCCGCTCACGCCTCCTGGGAGCCCTCCAGCCCTCCCCATGTGGAGGACATCGGGACCCCCACTCCCACCAGACCTACGGTATTGCTTCTCATCTCTGGGTTTTTCGTATTTCCGAAAAACAGGCATAATAGCGACATTCACGGACACCTAAACCTCACGGAGTGACCCTTTCCCTCCGGGAGCCTCCCATGCTGGGGCAGCCCCAGATGGCCAAACAAGCAAACAAATCAGTAGTGACATATTGCAGTGAAGTCCCTGAAGACACGGGGTCAGGGCGCCCCCGTCGGTTGAGTGGAGGGAGAATTCTCTTCATACCCTGTGTTGGCCCTGGATACCTCCCAGGCTCTGCTCACATGCCCCCTGAAACCTAAGAGCTTGTACCTTCAATCATTGGAGGCAGGACCCTTTCTCTGATTCTGGAAAAGATCCTGACCCTATTTAAGATTCAGTTTCTGCCAGTGGCAGGGGAAGTTAACCATTTACCTGCTGCCACAAGGGGTGTGGAAGCCTGGATCCCAGAGTCCTTAGAGGGCAGGAGCTTTGATAGGAGTTGCCGGGACGGCCTTTTGTTGGAGCAAGGCGCCCCCTGCTGGTCCATCACCAACATATCAGGCCGCTGGGCATCCCCGAATCAAAGGCCTCAAGTTCAATTCAAAGGGACACATGCGGGGCGCCTGGGTGGCTCAGTCGGTTGAGCTTCCGACTTGGGCTCAGGTCAAGATCTCAAGGGCTGTGAGTTCGAGCCCCACGTCTGGCTCTGTGCTGACAGCTCAGAGCCTGGAAAACAACAACAAAGGGACACCTGCGCCCCTATGTTTATAGCAGCATTATCTACAGCAGCCAAATCATGGAAGCAGCCCAAGTGTCCATCCATAGATGAATGGATAAAAAGAGAAGTGGTATTTATACGTATATGATGGAATATCATTCGGCCACAAAAAACATTTGCGACAACACGGATGGAGTTAGAGATTACAATGCTAAGTGAAACAACTCAGAGGAAGACAAATACCATATGATCTCACTCGCGTGTGGAATCTAAGAAACAAAACACATGGGCAGAGGAAAAACGAGAGACAAAGAGACAAAGTAAGAGACAGACTCTTAACTGGAGAGAACAAACTGATGGCTAGGGGAG